AGCTTTGTGATGTCATTGTTTTAGCTGTTGGATATAGGTTAGCGCCCGAGAATCGCTATCCAGCAGCATTTGAGGATGGACTGAAGGTGCTGCATTGGCTGGCGAAACAGGCCAATTTGGCTGAATGTAGTAAGTCGTCAGTGGGGAGTAGACGTGGAGGAGAAGGAGGAGGAGGAGGAGGAGGGGCGGATTTGAGGAAGTCGGATGCTTACGGGCATATAGCTGATGCATTTGGAGCATCCTTGGTGGAGCCTTGGTTGGCTGCTCATGGAGATCCATCAAGGTTAGATTTAGCCCCTTATTTCTACTTGTAAGTGACAAGCTTAGATCATGGATTGTTATCTGTTATGGTACTGGTTTGATAGAATTGATCAAGCATTTAGCTGAATATTGGTCCCAAATGTAGCTTCTAACCATGCTGAATTCATATACGTTAGGTAATAGTTGTTATTTTGTAAACCGTGTTTTACTTCGAAGAAGCATTCACTTCTCGCTCGTGTATATCTCTTGCTTTTTTCTTTTAAAACAATTTTCAAAATTTATGCAACAAAATTCATTAACTCGACCTCCTTCACCACCCAAAGGACTAGCATCTACCACTAGTTCGTGAAATGCTTGAACAAGTCTCTGCTGGTATTCTTTTGGGTGGAACTACAATAATTGGTGTGGAATGCAACATAATCGCAGTTGAGAGCATTAGATGGTTAGAAAAATCTTTTTCAGAAGAGGAAATAATTTTAATAGGTGAATTAAACATTTAGTTGTCATACCACAGTATCAAGAGATTGCTAGTTATGTAAAGTTACATAAGATAGGAATTAAGAAATTGAAATAAAGAGTTTATATCTATAGATCTTTCATCTTTCTCGAAAAAAAATAAATATCCGTTAGATCTTTCATGTGCACCAGAAAATGTTTTCAAGAGGAAGTTTGGATGGTACTGGATTCCTGCATGACAATAGGGCTTCAGGGCCCATTGATTCACCATGGCTTTAAAAATGTTGGAATATATGAAATAGTGTAATTTATACACTAAACCGATCTCATGATACAGGGGTCTTACAAAAGAGTTTTAACACCACCTTTATATCTAAATGCGGAAAGTGGTATGGGATGTGGAATTATACCACTTCCTTCTCGTTTGTTTGGGAGGTTGTGTCTATAAAATCCTCGCTAAACTGATATTCTTGAGGTTAAAGTTAATCATGGGAAAATAGTATCTGATACTCAATTTTGTTGGAGAAAAACAATTGATTGATGCAACTCTGCTTGCCAATGAATGCGTTGGTTTGAGACTTAGAGACAGGCAGTTGTGAGTTGTGTATAAACTAGATTTGGAGAAGCATTGCGACCAAGTTATTGTGGATAGTATAAATGATAGGATTTGGCTGAAAGTGGATAAATTGGAAAGTATTGTATATCCACAGTTAACTTCTTGATTCCCAATAATGGGAGTGCAAAATGATTTTTTTGGTGCGCAGAGCTCTATGTGAAGGTGATTCACTATTTCCCCCTTTTTTTAATCATTGTTATGGAAACTTAGAGCAGAATGCTATTGATAGTAGTATACAAGGAATGGTTAATGGGCTTCCATGGTAGTGAAAATCAAGAGCCTCTTGTTATAATCTGACATATTAGTTTGCGTATGACACTGTGATCTTGTTGAAGCGAAGGTATTAGTGTTTCTATATTTTGAAGGCATAGTGATTACACATAAATTTGACAAAAAGTTATATCTTCCTTGTAGGCTAGTGTGTCAAGTGCACGATTTAGGGAGATGTTGGATTGTGACACCCCACCCTTGGGATCACACTGGTATGCTGTTGTCGTTGGATTGTGACACCAGTCATTTTGTTAGTAAGGGCTTCATCCAAACCTTGCTTGGTGTGGATGTGGTAAAAGAAAGATTCAAGAAAAGACTAGCTGCCTGGATAAGACAATTTTTGTTGAGAGGCTAGATCACTTTGGTAAATAGTGCCCTCTTTTGGTCTATGTGGAGCATGATCCCAGTGAAACTTAAGAATTTTTGGGCCACACCATAATTGTGTATTAAGTGGAGCTTGTGGAAGGAGAGGAATAGGAGATGCTTTTTTGTTGTTTGATAAGGGAAATTATTTCATTAATGATGGAAAAATCTCCCATAAGAATAAGAGTATATTAAAAAATTAGAGAACCTGCAAAAGAATTTGATAGGGAAATTTGCCGTATAACTTTTTGAATGCGAGATGCTGTGAAAGGATAAACAGCCACTCTTGACTGTATTAAGTTTTCTTGTAGTAACTTTTTTTATTTAATGGTGTAATATGGTATACCCAAGAAATAGATAGATCTAAGATTTAGCTCCTTGGGGCTATAATATGACGTACAATTACACAGCACTTCCTTACTGCTTGATGGTTACTGTAATATCTTATCATACAAAAATTCTATATGTTAGATGGCACTGATGAGATGTGAATACAAGCCTAATAACTTTACCGAATCAGAGCCAAATGAAGACTCCCTTTTCCTGTCGTTCTTTCAAATGTAAATAATAACTCACTAACTAGTACTTTTGTTCTTTTGATATGTTCATCCAGGTGTGTTCTCCTAGGAGTGAGTTGTGGGGGAAATATAGCTGATTATGTGGCTAGGAAAGCTGTAGAGGAAGGTAAGCTTTTGGATCCAGTGAAGGTGGTGGCGCAGGTTTTGATGTATCCTTTTTTCATCGGAAGTGTTCCAACACATTCCGAGATTAAGCTAGCAAATTCCTATTTCTATGACAAGGCCTTGTGCACGCTTGCCTGGAAATTATTTCTACCTGAAGGAGAGTTTGACTTGGATCATCCTGCTGCTAACCCTCTTATCCCTGGGAGAGGACCTCCATTAAAGTGGATGCCCCCAACACTAATAGTGGTAGCGGAGCACGACTGGATGAGAGACCGGGCCATCGCTTATTCAGAAGAACTACGGAAGGTAAATGTTGATGCTCCTGTCCTCGAGTACAAGGATGCAGTTCATGAGTTTGCAACTCTTGACATGCTTCTTAAGACCCCTCAAGCTCAGGCTTGTGCCGAGGACATTGCCATTTGGGTTAAGAAATATATTTCGCTTCGAGGTCATGAGTTCTCATATTGAGTCAGATAGATGGTCCTGTATAGCAGTTTTAATGTGACATAAATGATACCTGGGATTTGAGGTCTCCTGTATCTAGCTCTGAAATTTCAGGCATATTCTTTAGTCCTCCTTGTTGTGTTCCTTTTGTAATATAGATGACTTACCGAAGAAAATAGAATTTAGTTGAGTTTGAGCCATATTCCTCCTACGTGAGTTAAGCATGCTTGTTTGACCATGAGTAATTGCCAAAATTTTGAAGAATTCTGTTGTTGTTTTTTTGCCCTCTTTCAGTGTGAAATATAATCACCGAAGGAAACTTGTATAGACATCTTGACTGGGGTTTTGACGTCTATTGCCAGCATTCTTTTCTTTTTTAAAGCTTTTCCAACCTGCAACTCTACTGTATTTTCGTAGGTTGGTCTTGTATCATTGAACCTTTTTGTCATTTTGAATCATATAATCACTTAGGAAGGTGTTTATTCAGTCTCTGAGTGCAAATACGTACCAATTGATAAGATATAGTCTGCCCTGGATGCCTGGACTAATTAATAGTTCCCATCTTTGTAAGATAAATTGCTGCAATTTGTACGTTTTAACTAGGGAAAAGGTCCAAATTTTGTCGTTCGTCATACTTTGGAGCCATTCACACCCTTGTTGTTAGCAAATTATTTGTATTTGCCCTTAACTTTAGATGGGGGATTTTATATTTCAAAATTCTTCGAGAAACAAGTAAATTTTTCCTTCTAGTTTAGAGGTACTTTAGATATAATTCTATATCGGCAAAACACAAGAGAGATGCTGGGTATATAAGTTAACAAGCCTTAGACCCTAGTGACCGTTTTAAACTCGTGAGAGACTAGGCCCAGAGCGGACAATATCACTAGCGGACTGAGATCTTATAAAGATTATATCAGTCATCAGAGCCACTCTTGTGTCAGCCTTGCCGATGGTGGGTCAGAATTCATTTAGGCAAATCCCGGTTAGACGGGGCAAACCTAAGTTAACAAGCCTTAGACCCTAGTGACGCGTTTTAAACCTGTGAGGGACTAAGCCCAAAAAGGACAGTATCACTAGCGGACTGAGCGGTTACAAAAATTGGTTTTACTAATGTCTTCTCATTATTATATGTGTTTATCATTATGATAATGAGAAGACCCTTCAGATTAGTAAGACCGATTTGTGTTTAATACAATATGCTTCTTTGTAAACTATAAGGACGTCTAACATCAATGACTAGAATAAGGTATTAGAAAATGAAAAATGTATGTTTCGTCCAATAATTTTGTTTAAGATACTGCACTTGATTATAAATTTATAATTTTGTTGCAAACCAATAAATCGTGAGACTAAATAGCAGGAATTACTTCATAACACAAATCAGTAGAACTTACATGCAAAGTTGCAAACTAAAAGCAATTGACAAGTGCCTACAAAATAAAACAGGGAACAATTTTGCATATAAACGAAATTTGTCACCAAAACTTAAGCTTAATAAGAAATTTGAACATCATATTCATTGGTGATCAAACAACATAAGCAATAAGAGAAAGTTAACAATCCCAAAGTTTCACCCTAATAACTTATAAATACATGGTTCCACCAAAATCCCAGATAGAAATATTAACATGCTGAAACTTGTAACTCGTAGCTGATAGGCTTAGTTAGTTTTCTTCGTTTTGTTACTTTTGTGTAATAAGGAGCTCAGCAACAGTAACAGCAGCAACAGCAGTGAAATCACAGTTTTCCGGTAGTCCCAGCTACCAGAACCTCCGGAACTACACTAACTTAATTCCTTTATAACCAAGGATATCTAGGCAACCTCCGAAGCAAGGTTCGGTCGAACTTTTTCAAAATGCTTTCGAATGGAGTGTCAAAACGGGCAAAAATCGATCATAATTGCTCACTTTATCTTTGCCCGAAAACTCTTCATGTCTACGAGCAAAGAGGGGCAGTTTTCAGAAGAAAAAAAGGAGGTCCAAAGCAGCCTTTACCCCGTGACAGCCTTGGCCTTTGGCCTGATGATAGGAAAGTCCAAATGATAACCTATATCTTTCACCACCTTTGCTTGAAAAGTGTCGCACACACCATTTTTGACAGAGAAGGTAATATAGAAAATAAAGGCACGACAACCACCTCCATTCACCTTCAAAATGTCATCGACCTCATAACTGGTTCCCTGAAAAATCAATAGAGGTAACTTTCTTCGTTAGCAGAAGAAAACAAAGGAAAAAGACAAACTGAGAAGACATGGAAAGTGCAGTGAAAGTATACATTACTATCGTTATATAGCTTAAGTGCCTTTCCAGCATAATCCTTCAACCTGTCAACATTCTTAGGATCATCCAAGTAGTATGGCATGGGGAAGACAGTCGTCATCCAGCACTGTCCAGGAAAATCTTCGATATCAAAACCCTACCAAAGTACAATCAAACTAATAAGAGACAAACATCACCTATTGCAACCAATTTGCTGTGTAACAAGATACCTTACAAGAATTGCAGAATGTGCCCCATGATTCTTCCATTTGTTTGAAATGCATCTCATGACTAACTATCACGCACCAATTGATTCTTTGCTAATCTAGAGGAATAAACTTAGATAGTCCCTTAAGTAAGGACAAGAATATTTCTATCCTTTATCTATACTATAATATAAAACATCCCTTATGTTAGCAAAAGTGAACAGCTTCGGTCTAAGTTTATTCCTCGCTAATTTATAGACATGCACAGTCATAGATTAAAATTAACGCAAGCACAACGAAACCGTGGCTTTACATATAAAAATGAGAATATATATACACATTACTTTACATGGCTGAGGTATAGATAATGCAAAAGACATACTCCATTACTAAGGTCATTTTTTTTTTCCTTTTAAAACATGAATTAAGCAAAATTCAGTCAGGTCCTCTCTTAACTTGAACACAAAGATCTAACAATAGCTTAATTTGCACTTATTGTGCCTAAATAAGCTGAAAAATAGCTAATTTGACTCCAAAATTTTCACGAACGACTCGAATTAATCATCAGAGAGTGGGAGAAAGCTAAATTATAGAGCAATTTCAAGTTAAAGGTTAAGATTTACCTCGCTTTCCTTAACCTGTTTGTAGTACTTCTCCCAAACAGCTTTATCCATTTTTCATGTGCCATCTGGGCAATAATCTTCCTCCGAATCATACTCGCTACAACTATGATCATCCTCTACATTCATGCCATCATCAATGGAAGTTACGTTACCACCGATCTTCTCATCACTTTCTCTGATCTTATGTTTCTTTTGCGGCGGGGACACTGTTTCCTCTGCAATTGACAAAGGCACGTTTTGTGACATAGGGCTCAACGACGGCGGCGGCGGTGGCGGAGACGGCGATGGCGGCAGTAAAAGATTCTTGTCGATCGTGAGAGAGAAAACCCTACATTGAGAAATATGGCAAGGGCTACAGCCTTGGCGGAATTTATATGTATTATTATTTCTATAAACGCTTACCTATTTTAAAAAAGTTTCCATATTTGTGTTTTTTCCTGTGTTCAATTGTTAATTATATTGGTCTTTTGGTTTTGCTGTGAGCATAAAAAGTTCAAATTGAGTATTTAGTGTTGTAAATATTTCTTCTTTCCCCTGTTGTGAGGCTTTCTATTTCGATGTGGTTGCTTGTGACTTGGTTTTCCTGCTTAAGATGCAATTCGTTATGAAAGTTTTGCGTAGCCTACCAAGAAAAAGAATTTGTAATTGCTAAAAGCTAGCTTCTCAGTTTCTAATTTAGCAATTTGTTAAATTTTTGTCAGAAGTATAAAGCTTATGAATAAAGATCAATTTCGTATTAGGAATGAATATAAGGAAGTCGGTTACAGTTTGAGAATGATCGCTAGTTTTATTCATTTTCATCTGTGAGAAACGTAAGTACGTGAGTCGAGAGTCTATCGGAAACAGCTTCTCTATCTCCGGTGGCCATAAAATATTCGATAAAATGGCCTATTGGGAAACCATGCATACTGATTCAAAAAATGGTGCTATCCAGTTGCGTCATCAACAGATGGTGGTTGACGTTGCTCTAAAAATATCTTCAGCAGCTATGGCTTCTTTGGATTTGCAACAGGTAAAGTGTAGGCCCTTCAGTTCAAAATTGAATGTGCTTGTTGAATTTTTGTTTCTTTTTAGTTTTACGATTAAACATGTTTTATGATGAGTGCTCTATTGATGGACTATAATTCCCTAGGTCTACCAGAAACCTAATGTACATCTGTGAACTCTATCAGCAGGTTGAAACTATAATTTCTTTCTTTTAGAAGCTTCTTTCTGTTTATCTTGTTGTTATTCCTACTTGTTGCCATTACTTTTTTCATCCGTTCTCAAGCCGATGGTCTATCGAAAACATTCTCTCTGCCCTTCCAGGGTAGGAGTAAGGCTGTGCACCTCTTACCCTCCCCAAACCCCACTTGTGGAAAATTACTGGGTTTGTTATCGTTGTTAGAAGCTTCTTTCAGTTTGTAAAAAAAATATGATTTGGGCATGAATTAGATGAAGACTGCTTATTTTTGCTTTCTATGGAACGGGTACTTCAAATTAAAATTTTGGCAGAGGTTCTTAAAATATGGTTTATTTCTTTGTAAAGAACCAGTCATATCTTTGTTTTGGCTTCTTTGGCTGGATTAGTTTACCTGATTAATCTCGTACTATAACTAGTTTGGTTGGTGTTCTTGAAAAAAAGATAATTATTTTGATCTAATATCCTCCACTTATCACTTTGCAGAACAGGTTATATTATCTTTAAATCAACTATATAATAACATTTATTTAAATAATAGAAAATAATTTACATTATTCAAACCAAACAGGCATTCAAGTTCATCACTCTGTTCCGGTCTTAAAAAGTAGTTCATGATGATTACTGATTGGAGCTACAATAATGACAATAATATGAGATAGTATGTTGTATCCTTGTTTGATTTGCAGACGTTCTTAATATATTTTATCTTCCCGCAGTGATATCTTTGTTTTTCTTTTCATTATGTTCGGATAAGTATAATCTGTTGAAGTTGTACCAGATACTGGGGGAAGACTTGATTGGTAAAAGATAGAGTTCAATTCTTATCTAGCCTGGCTACTGGCCATTCTGCTTAATTCCTTATGGAAAATAGCAAATTGTAAATGCTATCCAAAAGACAAGTGTATGACGATTTGCATTACGAAGATCTTCTTGGTAGAGCTCACGTAAAAATAGATTGAGGAATGATGGGAGGAGACGAGGAGTTTTAATTTATATTGCCAAATATAGCGCAGGACTGTTATAATCGTTTTAAGCAATATATCTTGTGATTGTCAGTGAAACAATAACACAAGAACTTCAAGGCAGGATATATTCTGCATTAGATCAGACATTTATATTCATCTTTTCCATTCCTTTGGAAGGAGGACATCCACAGCTACTGGATATGTATTTTCTTGAAAATATTTCACCAAGATATACATATCTTTTGAGACTTCGAACAAATTAATGAGCAACATTAACATCAATATTTCATGTTCTTGCATGTGAATACAAATTGATGTGTTATGAGCTGTTTAACCAATTTGCATTTTGGTATTCTTGACGCCAATTTGCAAGAGGATTGCATCGTCTAGAAACTATTGGAGTCAAAGCGAATACTATTGATTTGTTGGTAGAGTTCGCATTGTTTACCTAACGTTCTTCTCTTACGCAATTATTTATATATATATATAGAGAGAAAATTCCTGTACACATTTATAGACATCAAAAGCAAATGTTTTTTAGGATAGTGTCTGCTTTTTATAATAGCTGTATCACTTGGTAGCATCCAAGTTAGTCAGTCCAACATCCTTGCAATACAGAAATTACTCTATGACATGATCAGTAGCTAGCTAGTTCAACTAATAAGACAGTATTATCCATAGAATCATCCATAGTTAATTAATTATAATGGGGTAAGATAATCTAGAGACCACACCACGTTCAATCTTCGCATAACCCTTGTGGCCCCATTCCTTTCCCCAACTATTTTTCACCGAATAGAACTCCACGCCATCTTCTACACCATACCAACAATTAATATTGCATGCATGGCTTCTTTTTTACCTTCTTCAATTATTTTCTTTATGGCTTCAATTTCTAGCTTGGTGGGGCCATGTATACTTTCTGTTGGAAATAAATCCCCACAGAAATAATATTTACGGTAATAAAAACGGAATAATAACGTAGCACAAAGATACGGTAATTAACAAGAATAAAAGAGTGACAATGACACAAAGATTTTTACGTAGAAAATCCTTTTGAATAAGGGAAAAACCACGGCCCCGATATGAAAAACTAATATCACTATAGCAAGGAATTTTGAGTAAAATACTCCAAAGATCACTATAACACTCAAAAGAAATAATCATCTTTTGATATTCTCACCTCACTACAATACCGCTCACTCTCTATTTTTCTCACAGACTATTTTCTTATACCCTGTCTGTGAAACCTCACTCTTTCTTTTTAACTCTCAGATATATTTTTCCTATGAGATTGGTGTGCCAAAATGAGAAGGTGAAGACTTCTATTTATAGGAAGAAGTGTCGTAACTCTTAACCAATCAGAAGTTGGTTTTCTGCAACTTGCTATTTGCAAATTGAAAATTGAGAACCAAAACCAATTTTGGTCAAAAACGTGTTTCGGTGCCTACCATCAATTTTGGCATCTTGCAAATTTCCCTACATGTTTTTTTCTTCTTCATTATGGGGATGGACTCCACAATCTCCCCCTCCAGACCCATTCACCTGAAGGAGGTAACACCAGACTTCTAGCTTGAGTGCATACCGATAAGTTCTTTGCACAATTCGAACTTGTCTCTTGGTACCACCTTGGTCAGCATAGCTGCGAGATTCTCACTTGTATAAATCTTCAAGACTTTTCGAGATTCATTCTCTATCATTTCTCGAATCCAATGATATCTCATGTCGATGTGTTTGGTCCTTGCATGGTACATGGAGTTCTTGCTAAGGTCTATTGCACTTTGACTGTCAGAATAGACGGCGTACTCCTTCTAATGCAATCCAAGCTCTTGAAGGGTACGTTTCAACTATATTATCTCCTTGCCAGCTTCAGTAGCGGTAATATGCTCCACTTCAGTTATAGAGAGTGCGATACACTTCTGCAATATCGACTGCCATGATATAGCTCCACCTAAAAATGTAAATAAATATCCAGTGGTGAATTTTTTGTTATCAATGTCATCTGCGATATCAGCATCTGTATAGACCTTCAAGATTGGATCATATCCTCCAAAACATAAGCAATCTCCTACACTACCTCTTAGGTACGTGAGTATCCACTTGACTGCTTCCCAATGTTCCCTTCCAAGATTTGCAAGGAATCTACTAACAACACCAACTGCATGAGCAATATCAGGTCTGGTGCATATCATTGCATACATCAAGCTTCCGACTGCTGAAGAATAAGGAACTCTATCCATGTTTCCTTTCTCCTCCACTGTTGTAGGACACATCTTCTTACTCAACTTTAGATGACTAGCAGCAGATGTGTTGACTGTCTTAGCATTCTTCATGTTGAAGTGTTCCAGTACACGTTCAATGTACTTCTCCTGAGACAACCACAACTTTCTGCTTGTTCGCTCTCGAACTATCTTCATACCCAGAATTTGTTGTACTGGCCTAAGTCCTTCATATCAAATGACTTGGACAAATCTCCCTTCAACTTTGCGATCAACCCCTTGTCTTTTCCTACAATTAACATGGCATCCATATACAACAATAATATAATAATGTTATTCTTAGAAAATCTTCTTAAGTATACACATAGATCAAAATAGGTATTTATGTATGTTTGACTTTTCATGAATGAGTCAAACTTCATGTACCACTGCCTTGGTGCCTGCTTAAATCCATAAGACTCTTATTCAATTTGCATACCATGTGTTTGTTTCTTTCCAGCTACTTCAAATCCAATTCTCCCCTTAAGATCTAGGCTAGCTGTTAATAAGCTAAAAATTGTTCGAATAGAAGTCATTTTGACAACATGTGAGAAAATTTTGTCAAAATCAATACCTTTTTTCTGTTTGAAGCTTTTAACCACCAATCGAGCTTTGTATCTGACTAGCTTGCCATTTCCATCTTTCTTGAGTTTAAATACCCACTTACATTTGAGTGGTCTTTTACCCTTTGGAAGTTTAACCAGCTTGTACGTGCCATTTTTTCGCAGAGATTCCATCTCTTCTTGCATGGATTTCATCTACTGGTTCTTTTCTGTATGGGACAACACCTCCTTAAGACTTTCTGGATTCCCCTTGTAATGACCCAACCGGTTATTTTAACTTTTAGAACCCCGTTCCCTAAAATAAAATTTCCCGTATATGCTTTTAATGATTATTGACTTGTGGGGATGGTTGGTTTGGGATTTGGAAGTGTTTGGGTTGAAATCGGAATACTTGGTTCCTTAAGTTAGCTTTAAATGGACAAGTGAGACTTCGGTCAACATTATGAGAAAACGACCCCGAAATCAGGATTTGACGGTTTCAATAAGTTCGTATGATGATTTGGACTTGGGCGTATGTCCGAATCGGGTTTTTGATAACCCAGGAGCGTTTT